TTGCCTCATCTTGATTGGGTAATCGTCGTATACATATCCTTACCGAATATCAGCGATTACTTCTCACGCTTCTTTTTTCTGCGAAAGTATATGCTATTCGTCTTGAGTAGGACATCGGCTCTAGGAATTTATTTCTAACGGCTCGTCGAATTGCGTTGCTTTTGTATTTCCCTGTCTATTAGTAATACACTATAAACTTAGTACTTATGTCATCCAACAATAAGGGAAGAGAAGAAACCGCCACATCGGATGTACCAGATGCGAAAAGGAAAATATCACGACGCCTCCGATATAATAAAAATAAGAAACTCAAGTGGGAACAAGAACATGCTGAGGTATTTTACAAATCGGAAGACGTACCATCGTTCACTGGCCCTCTTGTTGATTCTGATATTATCTTCGATCCGCTAAGGGTATAATATTTTTTATTTTCGAATTGGTTACCTTTGTACGAATGCTAGTATGTTCTGTTAGGTTGCATTTGTGTTGATAAGAGGGTTGCGTAGCTATTTGTCGCAAGTTTACTTCGGTGAGTTGTCTGATCGAACATGCGCACAATTTCCTTCCGATTCGGTTGGTTGCTTAGCACTTTGGTTACGCGACTCGTTCGTTCCACAAATGTATCTTATCAGGAAAAAATCTCTGTAGTAAGTTAGTCTCATGAAATGAGGATGCTTTGCAACTAACACACTATTTTAATGATGAATAGCACCGAACTCAGCACGCAACCCGTAACCTATCTCACCGCGATAAAGCTTATTATTTGAAGGAGTGGATAAGTGTTCCTCTTTCTTTCTCGATCGTATATCCTCTAAAGAAAATAAAACTCAACGGAATATTTCAGCACGAGATCTATTGATTGAGACGTTAATTAAGGAATCAATATCTGACCCAGACAGTAGTTCTCTCGAATCAACCGAAGTCCCTGAAGATTTTTTTTCACTCGTAGACACTGATATTATTAATGGAGTTGAAAAGAATGATAAACGATTGTGGGTTGCCTTTGGTCGGTGGTTAGGATTAAAACGACCTGATGGACCAATAAAAAGAAAACATGTTCGGCATCACCTTAGATTGAAGTGGAGTAAGCTCAGACATTCTCTTAACATTCGAGACAATAAAGATTTTCATACCATCTCTAATACTGCCGTTGCACGTAACACGCGGAAAGAAAAAGCCAGGTTGATCATGTCCGTTCGTAATAATTTTCGCTCTCTTGACGGATTGGTGCAAATTCACTATATATCGGAACCTGAATGTATCACAGACATAGATAGACGAACCTTAGTCCATCTTGAAAATCTTAATGATCAAAATGCCGTGACGAAAGCAACCAATGCCGTTAATGAATATTATTATCATACTCTAAAACATCCTTCGCATCGGAGCGACGAGTTCTGGTCAAATTTCATCGAGCACTTTGGCGCGTACACTCTATATAACCCTCTTCCCTATACCAGCTCGAATACTGCCAGCTCTCACAACATCGATCACCAGGAATGTGTAAATAATCTACTTCTAAACCTCAAACCATTATCAGATACTGTCAACCGGTTCCTTTATGATAATTATGGGGAGATGTATATGAAGTTAAGAAATTTATCTTGGCCTTTCGCTCCTAAATCATTCGGCGTCTTCCCTATGATCGCAATTAATTTCAATACGATCAGTGACTATCACTGGGATGAGCACGACGAACCAAATTCCTTATGTTGCTTGGTTGCTTTAGGTGATTTCGAGGGAGGTGAACTGTGCTTCCCGCAACTCCAGATTATCGTTCCACTTCGTCCGGGACAAATCGTTGCGTTTTCATCGCGTTTTTTATTGCACGGAAATTTCCCAGTAACTCGAGGGATAAGGCACAGCATCGTTTACTTTATTCATGGAACGTTTTTCCACCATCAGCACGACTCCACTCCCATTCATAGTGATCTTACTATCTCTCATCAAAACTTGAATAATGCTCAAGATTCGAACTTCCGGATCCGACTTATCAAACCAAAAAAAAGTCAAACCGAGATACCTAATAAGGCTAGTGATAAGAGGCGAGGAAGAATCGGTAAATAGTTCATTTATTGATAATCCGTGTAGAATAAGTAATACTAACATTTTATTTTTAATAGATTTGACGCGTGCCCGACGAGGATTGAAGGCTGAAGATCCGTTATCCGATTCTGAATAGTACACTAAAGTAAAAATGTTATATGGATAGTCTAGAATTATTATCTCGCAGTTATATAATAAATTTTAATCATGATTCTCCGGTGTAAATATGTCATGCCTTTAGGTGCCTCTTTGAGGCTTGATCATCACGGGTTAAAGATTTTCGCAAATATATCAATATTGTTTATTTTTTTCTTGGCAAGTGATCGGTGTGACAATTCGTCATGCATACATTATTTTTATTTATTTAAACTTTTGAACATATCTATATATTGTGCTGTATAAAACAATGGGAAACACAAAATCTGAACTAAATTTGTTAAAAGAAGAGAATACCAGGCTTTTGGCCAGGATCGCAGAATTGGAACAGATCGCGAAAGAAAAAAATGAGCTTGAAGTTAGAATTGTGGAATTAGAACGATCCGCAAAAGAAAACATTGAGCTGAGATCCAGAGTTATGAAATTGGAACAAATGGTATCACAAAATGACTCACGGGATGGGGATACTATCGTATCTAAAGAAAAGAGTAACTTTATTATTTCTCAAAGTGAGGTTGTTCTCACATCTAAATCAGATGATACCGGAGAAACCAAACAGGTAAATACATTCGCCCCAAAAGAACAATCTTCGGTTAATATTAATGTCGTCTAAAGGCCTGATCAATTCAACTCGATATTCACTATCATAATCAATTTTTTCGGATAACCGTTGCGCATTATCAATCTTGAAATAAAACACATGACATCGCTCCCTGAGGCCCGTTATAACGTGACATAGTGAATATAGTTTATTGCGTATCAACTGCTGGAAGGCTTATCAAAATTCAATTCAAATAGTAACGGTGAAAGTGTAGAATGATCTGGTATGGATATAATGCAAAGCATGATTTCTCGGTAAAAAATCAAACATTTATCCAGTATATATATGGATGAAAATCACGTGTGCATTATAATTTGCGAACAAATTCTGGAACAAGCACCCCATCAGATGAACTTTTAAGGCAAGTTCTATCCCATCTTGAGAAGAGATTCCACTGAAACTGATACTAATAGTCTAACTTCGCATTTCTGCTAACGTAGAATTTATTTCTGCGATTTGGGCATCAAAAGGATTATAATTCTTAGGCTGAGATTTAGGTTCGGGTTCAGTATTAGTATCAGGATTGGTATCGGAATCAGAAGAAGTGTCACCCTCAGCATAATACTTTCCAGAATCAAAACGGTCTATCTTATGTCTCATCGCAATTCTGCTAAGGAGTTCAAGATGTTGCGAAGTTGGATTTTGACCACCATGAACTCTAGAAGCATGTTTTCCTCCGATTTTTCTTAATCTTTTGGCTGTAATACCATATGGTTTTAAAAATTTACTAAATACTCCTGTACTGCATTTTCCATTAATACTATAGACAGGATTGCGTAACTTTCCAGTTGCTATTGCATCTTGGATCCAGGTAAGCAATTCTTTTGCACGTTCTGGATTCTTTTCCATGGATAGAAATTGCCGAGATTCAGGATTATTTTTTACTTCTCCTTTATTTTTAATATACCCGGTACAATACCAAGAATAACCAGATTTATACCATATTGGAGGGTCTAATTCATTGGGTTCATAATGGATAATTCTAAGAGTAGTTACTTCAGCAGGTCTCATGCTCAACATCATAATAACATCTGCAAGATCTTGCGTAGTAGGAATTTTAGTAGTATCGATATTTTGAATTCTTTTAAGTCCTTCCTTTAAGGAAAAGTGTTTGGGAGTTTTAGGTGGATTGGGTAATCGCTGTTCGAGTTTTTTCTCCTGAATTTTGTTAGAAGCTTGAGTAACATCTGGCAATTTGGCATATATATCAATTTTCTCAGAATCAACCCCAGCTTCTGCTAACTCTCTACGAAATTGCGAAACACGAGAACTGGCCGCCACAATCGCTTCATCTGTATTATTTTTTGGCACAGCTAAGTCTAAAACATGTAACCAAATATCCCACACATCTTCAGTTTTTGCACAATATTGAGCTCTTTCCTTGATAGTAAGTTTTTTCCCCCTTTTGTCTGGTACAAGAGCTTCTATTTGATTGTTTTTGAATAGACGCCGGCGAAAAGCCTCTTTCACATCTTTACGAGTCTTCCAATCGGGTAGCATAGTATCAAGCTCATCAGCATAAGCACGTAATTGAAGCGGGTTTGATTCGGCCGATAGGTTATATTTACTGAGGATCTGATCTAAAATGGAGGTAAAACTATTAGTTTTGGGTTTCCTAGTTTTTCGGACAGTTGCCATGATAGGTATGTAAATAATATATATCGATAAGTAGATTGTAATTATACATTAACCTACTTATTCTTTCAAATCGAAATTAATTATCGTGAGTCGGTATATATACTCAAAAATTGAATGGGTGGCGATTAATGTAATTCTATCGAGAAATGGATACGGATAAGGCACGGAATAGATCGAAACTTTAGAATCCATAGCTTTACGTAATAAGATAACCAAAAATATTAATGGAATCAAAGAGGATATAGCATTACTTAAAGAAGTTCTGGAAAAAACAATCAGTATATGCCAAGCATATGATTATAGTTCATGTCTAGAATTGGGTAAGTCAGGTATATGATTCTTAAACATAGCAATTTGTATACACAATTCATCCTGCTTTTTTTTGTGATAATTCTCTTTACTTTTATACTTGCCTACATGTTTATTGCATGCATTATATTTAGACCTATTTGGCTCACCACAATCTCTACAAGGAGTATATACTGGAGATTTACGATGGATATAACATTTTTCTGATTTACTATTTTGACCACAGATTTCTCCAGTTCTACGAATTTGTGAGCAATTGTGTAATTTCATCATAAGTATATATAATAAACTTCAATCAAATTTTTGGAATAATTAATTTTATTTTAAAGATTTATCTATCGATAATATAGTTTCAAAATAATACTACATATATTATTACAATACTTTTTGTCAGATCAAACGACGCGCATATACAAATAACACATATACAAATCAATAAATGAGTTTGTCTAGTGAAGCAAAAAAACGTCTTCGTGAATCATTATAACAACAACGTCTAAATCAAAAGTTAGCCGAATATAATGAAGCAAAAAGGTTCTTCATAGGTTTAACAGATCTTGACTATAAACCTGGCCATAGAGAACATACATTTTATAAATACTGGCTTGCATCCAGTGGCGATACTAATAAAAATGATACTGCACTTTTAGATGCATATCAACCTGAAGAAATTCATTCTCAATATATAATTCGGACAGCAGGAAAAGGTTATACAGTGATCAATCATCCTAGCGAAGTTTATAGAATACCTGATACTCACGAATGTATCGATGGCAACCAGCCTCTTCGCTTGATAATTGACATTGATGCAAGGCAAAAGCCTGATCCTACAAATCCTAAAGTGCCTTCCTTAGATGATAAAAAAATTACACGAGAAGATTTGTTATCTCGAATTTTAGTCGCTTGTGCAGATGCATTAAGCCTTATTCCCGATTGTATGCCTTTCTTAAATTCTTTTGCCTTAGCTAGTTCATCAAATGCTGAGAAATGTAGTTGGCATATTATTTATCCTCGTG